TCCAACACCTTTTTATCCCTTCCTGGTCTTGAATTATGTTATTTTTATAGTCATAGAAAGTCCATGCCCCTAAGTTTCACCCTCGACTTATCCATGGGTCATATAAAAATCCATAATTTTGGCCCCCAAATCTGTCCCGATTTATACACAAGGTTGACTTATATTCAAGTATATATGGTAAATCCCACCGAACATGGGGGGATTATGTCCCAGGGAGTGCTTTGCTTCTATAGGATTGGGTGGATCTCCCTATGAAGGGATCCAGAGAAACAGTTCCCTTGGATTGGGCGTTGGGGGGGGGGTACATCTGCACTGCAGAAATAATCCAGGTTGACACCGCTTTAGCTACCCTGGCTCACTGCTAGGGTATCTCAAGATTTGTAGTTTGTTGTGGCACCCGAGCTCTCTGGCAGAATAGGCTAAATATTTCTCAAAACTACAAAATCCCAGAATTCCATAGCAGTGAGCCATGGCAGTTAAAGTGTCAGACTGCATTAATTCTGCAGTGTAGATTCACCCTAAAACCAGGATCAAACCACCCACCATCTTTCTTGAGAAGGTGCCAGGACTTTAGTAGAACATTAAATCTTTCCCAGTCGCCTGCTGTTTTGGACTCCCTGGACCCCTAATGCAATGCTGGACTTCTTTTGTGTGCACTACAGCTCCCAGAATCCCCCAGTGAGGCCAATGTGTGTGGTGGTTGGGGCATTATGGGAATTATTTTCAACTTTTCCACACTCTGTCTTCCAATATGGTGACCAGGTATGCTGTATCCCTCAGATGAGCAAATTGTGAGTATAATAATAATTTACTAGTCATTTCCTGAGCGTAAAAAGGATTTTCTGGCTTTTAGACAATCTTAGGGGAAAGATACAGGCAGCCCAAAGGGTTCTTACGAGATTCCTTGCAGTTTGGGAACTATTTGCCTATGCAAAAGTACGTATGGTTTTTCCTGCAGAGAATTGCATTTTCTGCACAGGAAAAAAAATCACATATATTTCTGCACATGAAAAACATGTGTAATTCATCACAGAGAGACTCTTCCTGAAAAATGGGTACTTTTGAATGGAGAAGAGCTGTAGGGTTTCCATGGCAAGGGAAAAAAAGGACCGCAGTGGACCCTGAGAAGTGATGCATCGTCTCAGTAGGGTATATCCTTGCAAGGCACTAAGACTTTTATTATGTGGATGATGGGATGGATGGAAGGTAGGGGGAATGACCAGCCCTGTCAAGGTAGCTGTAATTGCCACGGTTATTGAGGATATGCCTTTTTGCAGCAGTGCTATACTGTTGTGAACTGGTTGGTTTTGAATGGACAATCCAGATCCATTAGCTTTACCAAAGACCCACTGCTGGCAGAGAGCTGCTAGAATTAGGTCCAAAACAGACTGCAGAAATAATCTGGTTTGAGACCGCTTTAACTGCCCTGGCTCAGTGCTAGGGAATTCTGAGAACTGTAGTTTGCTAAGACCTTTAAACTTCTCTGTCAGAGAGCTCTGGGGCCAGAACAAGCTCCAATTCCCAGAATTCCATAACATTGAGCAATGGCAGTTAAAGTGGCGTCAGCCTGGATTATTTCGGCAGTTGGGATGCAGCCATGGTTTGACAAGGTCCCTAGCCACCTCTGCCAAAGAGTGCTAGTGCCTCACAAAAAGACAAATCCCTGGATTCAGTAGGATGGAGCCATGGTAGTTAAAGCGGGGCCATCCTGGATTATTTCTGCAGTGCGGATGCAGCCTACAATTCCTAGGATTTCCATAGGATGGAGTTACCATACTTAAAAGTGGTGTCAAAGTTTATTGTTTTTACAGTGTAGATGAACAATGGGACTTCTGAGAGTTGCTTTCTGATGGTATCTGAGGATGCACAGTTCTCATTTCTCAAGCGCAAGTAACGCACTTGCTTGCCTTTTTTTTTGGACTTTCCTTGCTGTTGAGAGTGGGAATTTGGCATTAAACAGACAAACATGCAAACCTACATACACAAGAACCCAAACTTTTTATTTGCTACTTTCCCACCCTCCTTCCTATCCCTAAATCCCTTATTGATTGTCAGCTCCTCTCTGCATGCAGTTCTTCATTTATACATTTAATATTTCCTCTCTAAATAATATTCAATGATGCAATTTTTTTCCATAGAAAGAGGGCCATCTCTAGACACCAAATCCAATAATTAAATTATCTCCTGATCTTTTAAAATCTATACTCTATCAAAGGATGCCAAGTCTATAAATATATTCACATCAGGTTTCCTTGAGTAAATTAGTCAATTTATGTGGTGTGGCAGGGTCCAACAATTTCTCTACACATTCTTCACTGTTGGGAATTTTCTTCTGCTTCCAGTATCTCACATATATTTGATCCAAAACACACTGCAGAAATAATCCAGTCTGAGACCGCTTAAACTGCCCAGGCTCAATGCTAGGGAATTTTGGAAATTGAAGTTTGTGAGACATTTAGCCTTCTCTATCATAGGCTCTG